TTCATAATGAAAAATATATAAATGTTTAACTCTTAATTACTAATTAGATACTATTAAATTTGATTACGAAAATGTAACAAAAATACCTGAACTATATTTTTAAATAGAATCTTCTATAATCGAAATCCGGAAATCCGGCCGGATTTTAACCAGTGTCCGGCCGGATAGTCGGATAACAGAAAAAAGGCCGGATAAGCCGGATTCCGGATATCTACCGGATACCCGGCACATCCCTAGTAATGAGAAATATGAACAATATTGCTTATTGGAAAAAGCATAGTTTGTATCTTGCAGATTCATAGTGCAATTTTGTATACTCAGCAATTATGCAGCAGCATAATTGAAACCACATTTGACTTTGTCCATTAATGAAATTGATATGCTATTTCCGCTCTGAATGGACAATTCCATTCAATTGTATCTAATATCTTCTTTATCCAAGACATTGGCATTTCATCATAACATGATGCCAACGCCTTATGGTGAAATAGTTCTTAAGTAAAGAATTGTAAATATATAAATAAGAGGGAAATTAGAAATAAAGTTAGTTCTGTCTTTTTCATTGTTCGAAAACGAACTCAATTTGTCTTATATTTTTTTGAAGCTTCCTAAAGAAGGAAATAAGTGGCGCCCAACGTGGGGCCTGCTTAAAAGTTAAAAAAGTGTTAGTGTCGGAAAAAAGTCCTAATTAACCGAACAAAATTTTTCATGAAACGAGTGATCGTGTCGTGTCGAAAAAAGAGAATCGAACAAACTTTTTCGTGAAATAAAACAAAGCAAATAATATTTCACACTAAGAGGGTGTGTGAATCGGTAACAAAGTTCGCTGCGAGTAAATTTTTGACAAATGTATAGAAAACTTTGAAAACTGCAAAGATTGTAGATGTGTATAATTTTTACACTATATTAAATATTTCTTGTAAACAAATTTATTAAAAGTTTTAATTGATTCAAATTAAATTGATCAAAAGCTTAAATTAATGAATTGCAATCAATGATGGTAGATGTTTTTGTTTTAATATTTATATTACTTCAATTCATAGTATTTTTTTTAGCGGTTGTCAAAAATTTACTGCTGTCAAAAAAGATTTCATTTCACAGAGCAGATTGACAAAGCTGTCTCACCATAGTAAAAATATCATTCACCAGCACTTTGTTACCGATTCACACACGCTCTATTTTGTTTTACGCGCAAATCATTAAATTGGCACTAAATCAATGAATCACCTGATCTGGAAGTATTACCGGTGTCACAACGCAATCAGCTATTACATACCAGCAGCAGCAATCTGCAACAACAATAACAGCAACAGCAACGGCATTGAATACAACGGACTAAAAGTAGCAGTCTGGATTCAAAACATCAATAACTTAGAAGTAAATTATATTAATATCTACATAAATGAAACTAGGTATATGGGAATTATTAATTATATTACTGTGACTAATGTGGGGGGCCACATAAAGTCAAAAAGTGCCCCAAATTATTCGTCAAAAGATGACATAACTCAAGGCTTGTACAGCCGATAAACTAAAGAAAAAATACCTCCATAAATCAGCTCAATTTTGCGATTCCGAACTCCGGACCCTCTAGAATAGAAGAACGTCCTTTCCTAGAAGGGATCACATATAAAAATAAAAATATTGAAATTATTAGTGTTTGTTGAGAAAATAAAATACAAAAAATAAATATGGCGAACGGTGCCTTGGCAGTTGAACTCATTACGCGATTAATCGCTAACAGCACTATAGGCCTAAGGCAGCAAATTTAACATTTACCTTCACAATTCGAAGTGAATACGCGTAGGGCTACAGATTATGAAGCAGAAACAATAGATGAAAATATAGTTTGTCAGGAATCCCTTGAGGTGATTCAATCACTACCTGCGTTTTCGGGGAAAATAAATGCTTATGTTAGCTGGAGAGAAGCAGCTCATAACGCGATGAGCGTATACGTGAGAGGCAGTAGAAAATACTTCGCGGCCCTTACGATTTTGAGAAATAAAGTAACTCAAGCCACAAATGACGTATAAACAAACCACGGCACTGTGTCTAATTTCAACACGATAGTCGCTCGTCTTAACTTCGCGTACTCGGACAAACGTCCGATACACATTCTTGAGCAGGAATTAAGCGTTCTTAGACTCTGTCAATAAATAAAACCATTACGATGCATGGAAATATTGCGGACATAACAAGAGAATCGAATAAGAATAATAGGGATCACGCCCTTAGAATATTCATTACAGGATTGAATGAACCATTGAGAAATATAATATTCTCATTAAACCCTCAGGACTTACCTAAAGCTTAGCTAAAGCTCAGGAACTCGAATCCAATAATCAAAGAGCTCGGTCTGCTCAAAATTTTGCTAATTAAAAAATCAAAGCAAAATCAAATTATACAAATAATTTGTCAATGTTATTGTGGCTTATTAATATTTTATTTTTTAATATTTCTTATTGAGCTTTGTACCACGTTTGTTTATTAGGAAAAATTGAAAAAGCAACAAAGTCTAAGCGGTAGAAGTCTACTTCTTAAAAAGTAAACTATAAAATAAAATGTTAATAAGCCGCAATAACATTGACAAATACATAGTTTAGGAAAAGCCTGCCTGAAACTATACAAAAAAGCAAATAAGCAAATGAAATGAATGGATGAATAAGGAAAATTAATTAGCAACAAGAGTTTACGGGATGTACATAGCTCAGTGGTTAACGCTTCTGACTTTGAACATCGAATTCGCAGGTTCGATCCCTGCTGAAGTCTAGAAAAAAGAAGTCTGATGAGGAGATGTGGTGATCTCCGAAATAGTGCTATAACTTCTACCGCTTAGACTTTGTTGCTTTTTCAATTTTTCCTAATAAACAATCGTGGTACAAAGCTTGTTATGTGACCCTTAAGTCATTGCTTCCAGATGGGCTTGCATTGCCTGCCTGCAACCGTGGCGTGTGCACTGGCTTACATGCCGGAGCTTCAGTCTGGGGAGGGGTTCAATACACTGTTGCAAACCAAGCCTACATCCATCGAAATGCAGGTTTACTGTCGACTGTTGACGATGGTTGAGTTATGCTAGAAGTGGTTATACACTGGCGGCCAGGTGTAATCGGGTCTTTTCCTTAAGTACTACACTTTTAGTATGGTGATTCACATTCACGGTTAGATTTAGTAATTCCACACAAAGATGTAGCTCGCCAAGTTAATGTACGCGGAATGTGGTGATTTGTTAATTTCTGAAAAGCGTGATTTTTCGTTGCTTGGAAAATGGTGTATTTCTTGATATGTATATATGTACATATCGCGACTTGATAAAGATAATTAAGGAAAATCTTACCAATTCAGGCCAAAATGACTGATGCTGAGTACGAAAAAAAAAGATTTATTGTGCACTTGCACTTCGTAAACACTTTAGTTATCACTCACTTAATATATATTTCTAATCGACTTAATGTGGTCGGCTCCGTGGTCACAAAGGGAAGAATGAATATTGTATGCGGAAATTGATCCAAAGCCGAATAATCAAAAATATGTATCGATAACTTTGCTAGCTTAGATCAGGTGATTGTGGAGATGCCGGGAAGGAGGTTTTGAGTGCAGCTGTGTTTAATACTACAGGGTGGTGGACTTCAAGAAGATGTGAAAAGTAAAGCGGAAGTTGGGGAGCGAAATCGAATGCCTAAAGAAAAATCTATTAACGCAAACAACACTAGTTTGTTTTGTACCCACGGTATACACTTCCCCACCTAAAGTGTTGGTGCGGTGTGTATTTTGCTTTTGTTCTTTTGGATATCCTTACGATGATAAATCCCATGCTTTCCTGTGCTTTCATCTTGTAAGCCATATAAGCAATTGCCCTTTAGTGCAACAACTTTAGCCATAACGAATTTTGGGACAAACCTTGCGCAGACTTTCTTGGAGGCATCACTCAAAACAAAATTTCTTCTATATACATAATCTCCTATCTTAAAAGTTTCCGCAGAACTTCGACAATTATAACGTCTTGCCGACATCTCGAACGCTTTTTTAATGTTTTCGGCTATCGACGATCGTATCAATTATAGCTTATCGGTTCGGTCTAGAATATGGTCGTCGAGGGCTCCGAGCCTTCGTAGTAACCCATATTCGTCAGCGTGAGACGCCATCTGCTGGCCGAAGAGGGCATAGTATGGCGTGCATCCTATAGACTGATGGTGAGAACTTCGTAGAGCCTCTGCGATACTTGGCAAGTGTTTGTCCCACAAAGTTTGGTCTTCTTTTAAATAGGCCCTTATACCCGCAATAATTGATCGGTTAACCCGCTCGATCGCATTCGCTTGCGGGCTGTACAAGGCGGTATAAACATGCTTAATCCCATGTTCAACGAGGAAACTGTTGAATTGGGAGGATTTAAATTGTTTCCCGTTATCACTCAAGATGATTTCGGGTGTTCCGAAAACACTAAAAACATGTTCTCGCAAGAAATCACAAATGCCTGGAGTATCTATTAAAATTTTTAATTGTTTTAAGTAGAGGAAACTTAGTAAAATAATGGAGAACAATGAAAATTCCTATGTTTCCTTGCTTTGACCGCGGGAAGGAACTAGGAAATTGACGTATAGTCTCTGAAAGGGACGCTGAACTGTATATTGCGCGGACATAGGCGGACGTAGTGTTGTATTTGGCGCTTTGCTTCGGTGACAAGTTTCGCATTGTCCAACATATTCTTTGACGTCAACCGTCATATTGGGCCAGTAAAAGTTCATACGTAAGCGCTCTAAAGTCTTCGCGATTCCGCCATGGCATTTGCTTGGCTGACAGTGGACGTTTTCTATGACCTGTCGAATCAAGGTTTTTGGAATCCATAACTTCAAGTTGTAAATCTCTCGCGCTGGGTTACCGTCGCGATGCTCTGTTCTTTTATATATACGATCGTCTAGTATTTGCAGGTCAGGTAGGCGATTTTTATTCTCACGGACGTGGTTCAATAATTTTCTATACTCTTGGGACTGTAATTCGGACGATTATATATCAATTAACGGACGGACTGCTAACTCATAAATTTCTTCAAAGTTTTGACGCGATAAGCTATCCGGTACTACATTCTGTGAACCTCTTCGGTGCTCTATGTTGAATCTAAATCCCTGCAGTTTTAAAGAACATCGCGCTAGTCTGCTGGATAGGTCTGTCTGACGTATCAGCCACTGCAGACTAGCGTGATCGGTGACAATGGTAAAATCTTGCGCCTCAACGTAAGCTCTGAATTTCTTTAAGCTGAGGATAGCTGCAAGGCACTCCTTCTCAGTCACACTGTAGTTACCTTGAGCCTTATTAAGTTTTTGCGAAAAATAGGCAATTGGGACTTCGATTCCATCTTCATTTTTCTGTGATAAAACCGCACCAACTCCAAGTTTGGAGGCGTCACATTGTATAATAAATGGCTTTTCATAGTTCGGACTAGCTAAAACGGGAGCTGAACATAACATTTTTTTTAAGGTGTAAAACGATTTCTGCGCTTCTTCGTTCCAAGCAAAATTTTTGTTTTTCTTCAACAAGTTTGTCAAAGGGGTTGTAATAGTTGCAAAATTATTAACAAACCGGCGGTACCAATCGGCCATTTCAAGGAAGCGCCTGAGTTGCTTCACATTGGTTGATACTGGGTAGTTCGTCACGGCGGAAATCTTATCTGGGTCTGTTCGCAAGGTTCCGTTACCCACAATATACCCTAGATATCTTACTTCCTTGATGCAAAACCTGCTCTTTTCCATAATTATCGTCAAACCAGCTTTTCTTAACTGATGGGCAACTTCTGAAAGGACGGACATATGACTGTCAAAGTCTTCTGACAGTATAAGGAGGTCGTCTAAGTAGACGAAGACCTGGTTTTTTAACTGCGGTGGAATGACGCGATCCATCAAGCGGCAAAGTGCTTGAGGGGCTTTGCGTAAGCCGAATGGAATTACGCAATAACGGTACAACGGACGATTGGGGAATGTAAAACATGTGTAATCTCTAGAGTTTTCGGACAGAGAAATTTGCCAAAAGGCTCGACGCAGATCTAGTGAGCTTATGTATTTAGCCTTTGGTATTCTACTTAATATACCATTAATATGTGGTAGGGGATATGCGTCCTTAACGGTAACCCTATTTATTTTCCTAGAATCAAGACACAGACGGACTTTATTTGGCTTTTTCACTAGCACGACCGGACTGGACCAGGGACTATTAGGAGACCTAATTACACCTAACTTTAACATTTCATCGATTTCTGCGTGCACTAGTTTTTCTATTGCGGGGGATATGGGAAAATATCTTTGCTTTATCGGACGGACATTCGGCTGGAGTTCGATCATATACTCCATGAGGGATATTTTCCCTAAACCTTCTCGTTTGCAACTTGGGAATCTATTTTTGACGGTTGTAAGTTGTCGTTGTTGATCATCACTTAAGACAAGGGCATTATCTTCACGTTCTACATCAAGGGCAATTTCGGATATAATGTGAGGCGCTATTTGGAATTTCATCCAGAAATCTACCCCCAGAATAACTTGTTGGGACATGCTCGGAATTACAAAGAATGCTATCTCGCTTTTACCTTCGAACTTTACTGGCAAATCTATGACACCAAAAACTACTTGTTTATTTCCGTCTGTAGTGCATACAGAAGTTTTGTGCTCACGCAATTGTTTCTGTTCGCAAACTAGTTTTGCTATCGACGATCCTAAACAGGACACTTGTGCTCCACTATCTAAAAGTCCTAGATATTCAGAGTCTAGCAATACAATTTTTGCATAAGGTCTTAAATCTGATGTCTTTTTTTCAATAGAACACCCAACTCTCTTCAAGCATTTGCGTTTGGCTTTAACATTTTGCCAAAACTTTTTCAAACGGATGGCCGAACGACTAACAGGCGATGGTGCATTATGCTCATTATTAAAAATACGGTCTCTAATTATATTATAATTCTGCAGACGAACGTTATACGGTACGATTTTATGAATAGGCGGACTGGTTTTCGATGACACATCAGGGCGTATGATTGAAGGTGTGCAATCATTGGTATTGACACTAGACATGTCAGGACGTATGGGTAACTGGGTTGTTATTCGCTTCCCTGGTCTTTGCGAGGGCTCTGTTTCGAAGCCTCGCTCGTTTTCGAGTTTCCCGAACAGGATTCGCATTTGGGTCGGTAAACGTCAGGCTTGCCACAGCCATAGCAAAATATGGTCCTGTCCTCCTAACAATCAAGGTACCTGTGTCCTTCACCTTGACAGTTCCAGCAGACCACTTTGTTATTTAATTTCCGAACTTCGTCTATCTCGTTTTCTACAAAGTCTTGTGGATCGTTTTCATACTGAAGCTCATTAGCATAACGTCGTGGATTCTGTCGTAAATTTTCAGCGGGCAGCGGAAAGCTGGCCTTGCTAATCTCATTCGCAAGGCTTTCGCCTTTCGAACAGGGTTTGCGCAACTCTGCAAGCGAACTAATGGGGACGTACAGCAATTGCTGTCGAACACGGGGTCTTAGATTATGCTGCAGTATCTTGACTAATTCTGCTTCCGTCAAAGGAGTTTGTAAAGGTTCTGCTAGTTTTAGTACAGCGTTCCTAAACTCTCAGTGCTTGACAAAGCGATGGCCAGGTTACGCGTTCTACCGAGCGGCGATATCTCCAATACCAATCTTTGGCATCGTTGGTAAAGAGGCTTTGGACATGCTCACAGAGTAGATTAAAATTACCCCCGAGTGTATCTATCACCTGACATTATATTCTGTAGAGAAAACTGTCAACGGATATACGAGGTGACCCGTCGAACTTTATATCCCAGCTCGAAATCAGTTGCGCTATTCTGCCCGAATTAGGAACACCGGTCGTATCACTAAAACGCAGCTGATCAACTGATCTGTAAAAATTTTGAGAAGAACTATTCGATAAGTTCGGAATATCTCTTGGCCAAACTGGGGTCGAATTATTTTGCGGTAGGTTCGCAGGTATATTATTAGGAACAGGGCTAACGTTGGGGACAGGTGGGGTTACTGGAGGATTTTGATTTGGTGCGTTCAAATTTAGTCGGCCCAATACATTCACGAGTGTGGATTCTAGTCTTTGCTCTATCAACTGGGGAACGCGATTCTCCAAGTCTGCAAATAAGGTAGCTTGTCGGGCAGATATTATCGCGGACACGAGGTTCCTAACTCTACTTTCCTCTTCATTGTTGCTAATTTGTCCTGGATTGGTAACAGGAAGGTTTGCCGCACCTTCGCAAGATAAGGCGTTCTCCGGAATGCTTGAGTGCGTATCTATCTCCCTATTCCCTGTCTGCAGAGCAGATCGCGATCACATATGTCCACTACTTTGCTGAACCGACATTATTATTGAAAGCAGAGAGAAACAAAATAATTAAACACCGGGGTGCGTCAACTCTAGAAATAAGTCGCCAATTAATCGAGCAAAAGGATTAAATATAAATTGAATAGAAGCGAAAAAAAAACATTACTTCAAACGAAGTAACTACTTCGTTCAATACGATCAGCATTACCAAATCAAATGCAAAAAAAAAAACATAAAATTGTTCTTAACAAGACAAATTAAAAAGATTTCCAAGTAATTTAAAACACCCAAAAGGAAGTACAAAAATTCTTCGAATTATAAAAAAAATTTAATTTTATTTAGCACTATATATACATACGGGTGTATACGCATACATATATATTCGATCTATGTGTACACACTATATATAAATGCTCAAATAATAATATAAAAATATAACAAGTATTCCTAAACAGGTTTAATATGAAAATAAATGTAAGGATAATAGAAAAACTTTCTTAACCCCTGAATCTTCAACATCAAAATTAATAGGTTAGGTTAGGTTACACTGGCCGGGTGATGCGCCTTACATAGACCCGTTGGTCCTTTGTAGTGCCAGATGGAGGTCCGTTTTACTGCGATCTAAAGTAGTCGTCGTATAGGACGTCAACGCTTTTTGCGAAGTTCAAGAGTGCCTTAATATCCAGTTTTGAAACCTCCTCTAGTCCTTCGAACTGCGAAGCTCCGAGATATCTAAGACGATTTCTAGCTAAGGCCGGGCAGAAACAGAGGAGGTGTTCTAACGTCTTACTCATGCCTTCCTCCCTGCACTTCCTGCATGCGTCACTGTTACTAATGCCCATTCTGCTTGCGTGGGATGCCAGTAGGTTGTGGCCCGTCATTAGGCCGACAACTGTCCTGCAATCCCTACGTGACCGTGTAAGCAAGAAATGGGTGTTTCCTTTGCTGCTATTGCACATGATCTTGGTGGTTTTGCATGTCGCTAATGCGTTCCATCTCCCCCTGATCCGGCACCCAGCTCTTTCGGAAATTTCATTGTAGATCGTTTTTAGCGACTTTTGTATTTCCCGTACTGGTTCGCTAGCAAGACGGATGGCACTTTTGGCAATCTCATCAGCTATTTCGTTGCCTAAAATGCCCTTGTGGCCTGGAACCCAGTATATATGCAGCCGTTTACTCTCGGCCGCCCTGTCTACTGCTTCCCTGCTTCTAAGGACATTTTCTGACGCAATACGATGTGAGATTATGGCCTTAATCGCCGCCTGGCTATCGACATATATATTGATATTTTTTATATAATTTCCTGCGTTGCTAGCTATCTCAGCAGCTTTCCCTACAGCGAAGACTTCCGCCTGGAAAATACTGCAGTACTCTGGAAGCTTGAAGGGTTGCCTGAGGTCTAGCTCGGCGCAATAGACTCCGGCGCCCACTCCATCAGCCATTTTTGATCCATCCGTGTAGATGTTATACGTTACGCCGGCGGGTCGCGTGCTCATGCGCCATCCGCCCTCCTTAACCGTAGCTTTAAACCTTCTTCCCCAGATGAAGCGTGGGGGTATGTGGTCTATTTTGTCCTCCATCCCCCTGCATATCGAGCTGTGCCCGAAGGTTCTTGCGGAGAATTCACCTAAGGCCATCAATCTCGTGGCGGATTTCGCTGCAGTGCTCTCCACCGCGATGTCGATTGGTGGTAGGCCAAGTAGCCTTTCAAGTGCCGCCGTTGGAGTGGTCCTTAGCGCTCCTGTTATGCACAGTGCAGCGAGCCGCTGTAATCGCTCCAATGGTTTTCTATACGAAATTTTGTTTGCAGCGGTCCACCATACCAGAGCACCGTAGAGCAATATGGGCTTAACTACCGCTGTGTAACACCAATGCATGAGGCCAGGGGATAGGCCCCATGTGGTACCCAGCATCTTTTTACATGCGTAAAGGGCACCACTGGCCTTTTTCACCCTTTCCTCCACATTTAGCTTCCACATCAGTTTGCTGTCCAAAATTACTCCCAGGTACTTGGTGTGATCCTTGATTGATAGCTCCGCCCCGTTGAGCCTCGGGGGTTTCCACGCGGGGATTTTGTACCTTCTTGTGAACAGTACCGCATCCGTTTTGTCAGCATTTACCTCTAAGTTGACTGTTGTCGCCCATCGATGTACGACCCTTAGAGCGCTTTCCATTACGTTACTGATGGTGTCTAGGAATTTCCCCGTAACAACTATAGCTATGTCGTCCGCATAGGCAATTAGTCTGGGTGCTTTCCCTTCGAATTTTCCCAGAAGCTCATTCGCTACGAGTAGCCACAGGAGTGGTGACAGAACACCACCCTGAGGAGTTCCTCTATGCGCTAGTCTGAGCAACCTGGCTTCGTTCCACTCCGCCTTAATTTTCCTGCAGCTCAGCAGGCTTTTTATCCATAGTAGGATGGCAGACTCTACCTGGGCTGCTTCTAGGCTTTCCATTATTGCCTCATAGGAGACATTATTAAATGCCCCACTTATGTCCAGAAAGACCCCTAGGGCATATTCTTTATGCTCCAGAGCTTTTTCTATTACCGCGGTTAGTGAGTGAAGTGCAGTCTCAGTGGATCTACCCTTCGTGTAGGCATGCTGCGCCTTTGATATGCTGGCCGACGGCAGCTTATCCCTAATGTAGGCGTCCAGAATCTTTTCGAGCGTCTTTAGAAGGAATGAAGTTAGACTAATTGGTCTGTATTCTTTCGAATAGAGGGGATTTCCCTTGCCCGCCTTCGGTATGAATACGACCCTCGCCTCTCTCCAAAGGACAGGCACATAGTTTAGTCTTAAACATCCCTCGTATATTGTTTTCAAGTATGGTGTCAGCACTGCGGAAATTTTTTGCATCATGGCTGGAAAGATACCGTCTGTGCCTGGGGACTTAAACGGCCCGAAGCCATCGATTGCCCACCGTATTTTTTCTTCCGTTATGATGTCCGGGGGGACATTTTCCACGCTATCTCCTAGAAGTTGCAGATCTATGCTGTCTGTACACCCCGGAAAGTGTGTGTTGACTAGGTCTTCCAGTGAGTCCTCACTGCTTCCAGTCCACTCTCCACATTTTTTACGTAGTAACCTTGGATTAGTCGGGTTCTTGGATAGCAATTTCCTTAGCCTGGCTACCTCGGTTGTTTTTTCTAATTCGCCGCAGAAGCTCTTCCACGACTCCCGCTTGCATTTACGAATCTCTTTCTTGTATTCCTTAAGTACTTCCTTGTATTCCATCCAGCAGAACTCGTCATCGGCTACCTTGGCCAGTTTGAAGAGTTCCCTAACATTTTTCCTGAGTGCTCCGAGCCCCCTGTTCCACCAAGGTGGCTTTGAACCTCGCTTGGCATGTAGCGGAGGGCATGCGATGCAATAAGCTTTATTTAGAGTGTTGGTAAGTGAGACTACCAGTTCCTCCAATTCAGAGTGGGAGTCACTTACCCTATACTTGGTTAAATTCTTCCTCACTACCCTTTCATACAATTCCCAGTTTGTATTCCTGTGATTTCTGAAGGTTTCGCTTTTTGTACGGGCTGAGAATTTTACCTGAAATCCTACATACCTATGGTCAGAGAACGAGGGTGTACTAAGCACCTCCCAATTCTGTACTCCGATTCCCCCACTAGTGTGGAGTGTTATGTCAAGGACGTTCTTCGAGGTAGGGCCAATATAAGTTGGTTCCTCACCCCGGTTAGCTATATCTAAATTACTTATTAATATAAAGTTTAGTAAAGACTCACCCCTTTCGTTGGTATCTCCACTCCCCCATACTGTGTTGTGCGCATTGGCATCCGCGCCTATGATGAGTGGGCGTTTCGCCTTCTCGGCCTCTCCCACCAACCTCCGGAGCTCGTTTGGTGGCGCCTCCTCGTCGTGAGGCATGTAACAAGATGCAAGGAGTATTGTGTCATCCTTGCCATCCTTCACAGCTACCACCGTCAGATCATCTGAAGAGAAATTAAGATCAATATAAGAGTGTATACTTTTCTTTACCAGTATAGCTGTTCTTACCCTGTTTGTTGCACTCGGGATGTGCGTATAGTAAGTTTGCGACTTTAGTCCAGCTACCACGTTTCCCGACGCTATCCATGGCTCCTGGACTAACGCCGCATCGTAGCCGATCCTCTCTAAATTGAGGAGGAGCTCGGCAGAGGCGACCTTGCTTTTATGCAGATTTATTTGAAGAACCTTCACTGCAAGGATCAGGATTCTTTTCGGGGTCGGGTAGAATCTCCGGATCGCCCTTCTCGGTCTCCTGGAGCTTCAAGGTGGCCTCCAGGATCTCTCCCAGATCCTTCTCGACCTCTCGCTCCTCCAGCGTGTTAGCATTGTTATCGGCCAGGCTTCGCTTCTTCAGGCGAAGGTATACGCTACCTATGCCCCACGCCATCTTCCCGAACCTAGCGTATAGTATGTCTTCGGCCGGCTTGTTGATTTGGAGGATGTAATTTTGGCTGCCATCCTCCTTACAGGAGTTGGTGACCTTTAACACCCTCCAATCTCCCGTCGGCACGTCTGGGTTCTGTCTCTGCAGAAGCCGCAGCGCATTCTCCGGTTTTACCGTGCGGGGTATGAGCACCTTCGCTTTCGGTATGGATGGTATGCAGCTGCGGTCCACAACCTCCAAGACGGCGCCCTCCCACAGGCCTTGAAGCGTCGCAACAGCTTCCTTTACCCATAGTAGAGAGGGATCGTCCTTGCATTTTATTATTTTCACCCCATTTAGCCACCCCGCACCATCGAAAGTTGGCATGGTCGTGGTGGGGTCCCCATCCATTTTTGCGACAAGCGCATCCAGCAGCTTATGCTCTACTGCTCCCCAGCGCTCCTGAGAGATTTGTCCCAGCGGATTGCTCCGGTCTATGAGTGCCACGATAAGGTGTCTTCTGGCTATCTCACTGGCCATTGCCGCCGCTCTCGATGTAGTCGGTCTCTCTAGATCGAGCCTGACGTTTGGCTTTGCAGCGTCGTCTCTGCGCCTCGATTTTTTGGCTGGCCTTGCTGTCTCGCTTTCAGCTGACCGCTGCCTTTTAGCCGCGATTCCTTCCTCTATCCGGTTTGCGAATCCCGGATCCGTGGCAGTGAATCGTGGCCTTGCCGCGTAGTACGCCCGGCCTTCCTCCATTTTCTCCTTAGCCCAAGCCAACCTTTCCTCCTCTTCCTTCGTCCGGTTGGACTTGCAGCTAAGTCTCTCGTGGACTTTGACCGCCGCCTTGTATATTGCTTTTGCCTTCAACCCCTCCTTACTGGGTTTTGCCCTAGGCCTTTTCTTTGATGCCGAACAAGCACCTTTGGCATCCCCCGGAGAGCGTAGCAAGGCCTCCTCTTCTTGCGTGCAAACGCTCTCACCGCTTTCGAGGTCCGAGTCTTCGTGGACTGTGGCACCCCTGCGCTGTAGCGTCGCTTTGGCGGTAACACTACAACCGCTGTGAACCGCTCCCTTCACAGCGGAGGTGTGGCCGCTGGCGACACAGCAAGTAGACTCGCTGTGCCCGCCGGTGGTAGTAGCCACTTCTCCCACCGACGTTTGGGCTGATATCCCAGCCCGCTCTTCTTCTTTTCTAGCCTCCATGGTGAGTTTATGTCAGGGAACCTCTACCCCTAGCGTTTTATACCTACCGCCAGGTACCTCGTTAGCAATGGCAGAAGTAGGCATACACCCCCCTCCCCCAGTTTCATATGCAGAGCAAAGCACTAGGAAGAGAAGGATGGATACGTATTCCTGCCTTCGCTAGACGCCGCCTGCTCCCACCGCCAAGACCCGCTCTAGGTACTAGCCTAGGTGCTAAGCCATCGCGGTGACAGCAGCGACGCCCATTGCCCAGTCGGCACCCGCGGGGAGGATTTAGCTAAGAGGATTTTTGCCGACCATCAAAATTAATAAGTCTGCAACAAAAAAAAATAAATAAATAAAAAATAAATAAATAAATAATAAAAAATAAATAAAAAAATAAAAAATCGTTCCTCAAATCAACAAAATACTGGTCTATTTCTCTGGTTGTGTGGTGATCTCAGTTCAGCTAGGGTATGTCCATTCAATTAGGTAGTAGATGCTCAAGATTTGAAGCATAGAAAGAAAAAAAAAATTAATAAGTCTGCACAAAAAAAAAATCGTTCCTCAAATGAACAAAATACTGGTCTATTTCTCCGGTTGTGTGGTGATCTCAGTTCAGCTAGGGTATGTCCATTCAATTAGGTAGTAGATGCTCAAGATTTGAAGCATAGAAAGAAAAAAAAAATTAATAAGTCTGCAACAAAAAAAAAATCGTTCCTCAAATCAACAAAATACTGGTCTATTTCTCCGGTTGTGTGGTGATCTCAGTTCAGCTAGGGTATGTCCATTCAATTAGGTAGTTGATGCTCAAGATTTGAAGCATAGACAGAAAAAAAAAATTAATAAGTCTGCAACAAAAAAAAAAATCGTTCCTCAAATGAACAAAATACTGGTCTATTTCTCCGGTTATGTGGTGATCTCAGTTCAGCTAGGGTATGTCCATTCAATTAGGTAGAAGATGCTCAAGATTTGAAGCATAGAAAGAAAAAAAAAAAACGAAAAAAACAAAAAAGAAAATTAATAAGTCTGCAACAAAAAAAAAAATCGTTCCTCAAATGAACAAAATACTGGTCTATTTCTCCGGTTATGTGGTGATCTCAGTTCAGCTAGGGTATGTCCATTCAATTAGGTAGAAGATGCTCAAGATTTGAAGCATAGAAAGAAAAAAAAGAAAATATCTACAAAAAAACTAATATGTATAAACAAACCAGAAGACATCTCGAAGCGGAAGTTGAGAGTAACGAATCCTCAAAGACTTCAAAAAAAAAAAATGTTGCTAATTTTACGATCGGTTAACTAGCTGACATGTAGTCGAGCTACAACTGAATTTCCGGAAAGTTTATTAACCTACAACTTGAAAAAATCAAAAATTCGCACACAAAACAAAATGTCAAACAGTTCATATAGTTATATACCTAATCTTTAGCGGTCAGTTCTGTAGACATAAAGCCTTTAGGAATCTGCAATTCCGGCATGTGACTTGATATACAATTACATAACCATTAACAATGAAGCAATCTGAGTTCTAATTGAACTGGTCAAAACAACTGGCATACAGCTACCATCTTTGAAATTCTAAAGTTCAATGTAAATATTACAAATTGTATATAGAAAAAATTAAATTCAACAATTTTATAATGAGCTCGAGGCCAATTTTTAAATGAAAATTTATTGTGGAAAAGCAACAATAATTTGAAAAAAAGGTAGAAGTGATAGCTATTTCGGAAATCACCACATTTCCTCATCAGACTTCTTTCAGTAGGATTCGAACCGACGATCCCACTGACTCAGCCAGTTGCCTATGCACCGTGCTAAGACGCCTTGTAAATTATCGTTTGCTTATTTCCACTATTTTCATTTTTGTTATGCCAACACAATCAAGCGCAGCTATTCCGCTGCAATTCACTTGATCATGTGGTTGTTGGTTTTGTTGGTTTGTGCTAATAATTCTATTTTTAGAATGCTTAACTTTTAGGTGTGCTCGTCCTTAAGTTATTTGTTTTTTGTTATTTTTTGGCCTTTTAACAATTATATTCAACAATTTTATAATGAGCTCGAGGCCATTTTTTAAATGAAAATTTATTGTGGAAAAGCAACAATAATTTGAAAAAATGGTAGAAGTGATAGCTATTTCGGAAATCACCACATTTCCTCATCAGACTTCTTTCAGTAGGATTCGAACCGACGATCCCACTGACTCAGCCAGTTGCCTATGCACCGTGCTAAGTACGCCTTGTAAATTATCGTTTGCTTATTTCCACTATTTTCATTTTTGTTATGCCAACACAATCAAGCACAGCTAATAATTCTATTTTTAGAATGCTTAACTTTTAGGTGTGCTCGTCCTTGAGTTATTTGTTTTTGTTATTTTTTTGACCTTTTAACAATTATATTCAACAATTTTATAATGAGCTCGAGGCCATTTTTT